CCGGTGGCACATGGGGGTGTTTATGTGCTGCCTGGCACGGAGAGGAGTCCTCTGCCCCTGTGAAGCCTCGTTTTATTTTAATAACGCTGCGCACTGTCTTCCTGGGGCACGGTGTGCAGCTTGCAAGCTTGCAGCGCAGCTCGTGTGGTTGAGAAAAACAAGATCTGTGCTATAGAGCATCGTTGCTGGCTATGGGCTGTCCAAGCAAGGGGTTTTGCAGTTTTTGAAGCAAGCCTGTCCCGCTCTGGGTGGGTAGGTGCTTACTGGGCTGCACAAGCAGTGTCACAGCTCTGGGATGTGCTAGTTGAGGCCCTGGTGCTAAAATGCTCCTGTGCTCTTGGGTCTGGGTGAACAGGGGGGCCTGCAAAACACAGGTCTGGTCCTGTGAGCTGCACATCAGCACATCCAGCTTCATGCCCTTGGTGGAGCAGAGCGGCAGTACCCTGGTTTCTTCTTAATTAGAAGGTGACTCTAGGTATGTCTCCTCTCCTCAAGTCTGACCTACTTAGTTGCAGCAAAACTTGCCTCTGCTCCCAGTATGGAGAGGTGCAGGTGTGGTGGGTTCTGTCCTTCTGCACGTGGATGAAGTTGGCACCTAAATCTGAGCCCCAAATCTCCCATTTTGTGTTCACTGTGCACTGCTTCCCTTCTGAGGTGCGATGAAAACTGGTTGGTGCTGTTTTATGGCAGACTTGGGCTTATTGCTGCTGAGTGTTAGATGGGTACCTGGCCCTTGGCTGGGTTTTTGGTGTCCGTAAAGTGAGTAAGTGTAAGAATGTCAAGTTAAGAAGGAAAACGACAGGATTTTCCCACTACCTTGGCATGGCTTCAGAGCTGAACAAGGCTCCCTAAAATATTTCTACCATTCTTTATTGCTGTAATTAAACACCTGCTTGTAACAGGTGGAACTTCCATAATTTGGGAGAGGGGGGAGCTGTTCTCTGAGCAGCAAAACTCATGGATTCTTCTCCTGTTTGCTGCTTTGTACCTCAGCACTTCAGGAAACCCTCCATCCTGCCTGTGTCCCTTGTACTGTACAATGCCTTTGGCTCTTCCTCATCCAGAGCTTCCCTCTCCTTCCCAGGTGGTCAAGGCAAGCAGGCAGCTGAGGAGCTCGTGCTGAGTTGCTGGGAAGATCTGGAGCAATCGCTGACTTTTACGGTGATAGACACGGATAATACCGTGGTTAAAGTACTTGAGCTCTTCTATTTTATCTGTGCTCCAGCTCTCATCTGGAAGTTGTGGGTGTGTAAAGGAAAGTTCATATCTGTGGAGAATGGGAGTTTTAACAGAAGAAGGAGGGGCAAAATAGCAGATAAGGAAATATGTAGGAAGCCTTAAGCACCAGGCGACTAAACTCTTACCCAGTGTGATCTGCGTACAGCGAGTGGAAGTGCCTGAATGACTCTGGGAAACAAAAACCTAAGCTAAGGTCTGCAGGAGCCTGGTGAGAAAAATCTGAAATAACAACATTTATGCAGAGAGAAAAAGCTGCTGAGGAGTCTGCCAGAGAGTGGGGGACAGGAAGAAAGATTGATCTGGTGCGACTGAAATACATTTTAGGAAGAGGAAAATGGTACTGCTGTATACACTGTTTCTTGGCGCCTTCTTCCAAGATGTACTGGAGAAATTTTAAAGAACTTTTCATAGGATCACAAGCAGCATAGTGTATTTAAGAGGAAAAGAATATTTAAACAGGAATTAGAGCATGCTTGCCCATGTTTATTCCAGATAGTCATCTGCCTGAACTGTGATATTTGGTGACCCTTGCTGACAGACCAGACGTTTGTCTGCTGTGAGACCTCTTCTTTCATTCGGGGCATAATAAAAGCCTTGTATAATGTACACAAGGTTTTGGAGATGGTAGCTTTCTAGCTTTATGGTGTAAAAATAAGATTATGTTGTGTGACTTAGTGTTGGCCTTGCATCTTTAATGGAAATTATTTTCCGAGCTCCCTTCTTGCGGACTTTGTAGGCCACTTAACAGCAGGTGTGATTTTGCTGCTCTTCATAGCAAGCAAGTTTTGTGCTGCTCCTTTCCCTCCTGGTTCTCCAGGTGTGATGTTAGTATTTAATGCTAGTAGGTGCAAATGACTATAACAGATGCTATTGTTTGGGTATTGACTTGGGAGAATTGTTACTTGCCGAGAATAAAATCGGTCAGGAAATATCCTGAAGAGATATTAAAAAACAGGAAGCCTGTATTCAAGCGTAGCTGCCGACTACATTGTGAATATGCTGATACTGTTTTGTATTCCATTTTTATTTATTTATTTTTCTTTCTAATGGATTTTTAGGGATGTGGTAAAATGGTATAAGAGGGAATTGGGTGTTTCTGTATTCCACTGGCGTATGAGTGGGATTTGGGTAATGCAGCAATTAAATTCTTTGGATTAAGTCTTCTGTGCACTAATGATAGCTGGACATGATGCTAAAAAGAAGCTTAGCCAAAAAGCTACAACCAAATCTTACAGCTACCCGATGTTGGTAAGAGCTCGGTGGCTGCCAGCCCGTAGCAGAGGAGTGTGTGTGTGCTGGGCTGAACGCGGAGGGCTTGGCCTTCGCGCTGGTGTCGTATCAGGCGGGAGGCTCAGCGTTTGTTTGACTTCTCCTCCAGCGTCCTCTTGTTCAAGAGCATCTAGCATCATTTTGTGCACCTCGTATTCCCGTGGCTCTTGGGCAGAAGAACTCTGCTGCTTTCAGCTTTGTGTGTGCGTGTCCTTTTTTTTTTTTTTTTTTTTCCTCCTTCTTTTTCCTCTTCATTTGTTTCTGCAGCTCCCTTTTCTATATCTGTCCTCACTCCAGGGTCAACTTCACGCTTCCTGAGTTTTCATAATCCTCTTTTTTTTCCAGTCCATCATGACGGAGGCTTCTCCTCATCTTTGAATTAGCCTCATCTTCAAATTAGTGTAAATATTTTCTTATGATGCCATAGTGCTGTCACTCTTACCATCTTTAATTTAAAACAGTAAAGCTTAAGTTCTCGCCATCCATGATTGCATTTTTCTATGCTCGCCTTGTACAGCAGCAAGCTTCATGTTGGCACCTAGAGCATAGTGTGCCGCTCTGCAGCTACACGGAGATGGATCGCGGAGGGCTTGGGGCTGTTCTGTTGTTTGCTGGAGAAAAGCTGCTCATGACCCATTTCAGCAGCCATCAGGACCAAGTCAGGTCAGCCACACCTGCTTAAAGCTGCAGGAAGCAACACTACAGTAAGAGCTTAGTAGGGGTGTTAGGAGTAGCTGTGACTTGAGGGAAGATGTTTGGTGAGGATTTGCTATTCAGCTCAGAGAGTTACTGAAATGTCCTGTATTTTTTTTTTTCTAAATTCTGTGTAACTGGAGATGCTAAGGTCTGTGTAGTTGGAACTTTTAATCCAAAATTAGTTTCAAAGCTGTCACACAGGATAAGTAAAGTAAACAAGAGATGATGCAAGTAGCAACTCTAGTTATACTGTGCCATAAAAAACCTTACTTCCCTCTAGAGAAGCTTGGTGTTCCTGAAAATCATCCCAGGAAAATGTGTACCCATGTTAAGCTCCAAAGCTGTGGAACCTTTCTGTTCACTGTACCAGCATTGGGGATTGGGGTGAGAGGCTTTTTTTTTTTTTTTTTTTATGTATATCTCTATATACACACACACACACACAGAGTTGTCTTAACTGTAAAAGTAACGTTTGTTGTCTCGACTGTCTCTCTGGGAGACTGTCTCTATATCTGCAAGGATTCTGGTCCTGTCTGTACTCACTCTTGTTTGTTCTCTCTAGTGGGCAAGCTGTCATGTTGCTTGGAGAAATCATATGCCCTCTAAATGGAACTGAGATAAACAAGAGTTAGTTTTAATTTCTATACAAGTGCCTGACTGGTTGTCATTTGGTCGATTTTGTGCAGTGGCTGTGTCACCTCATTACGGGAGAAGCAGCAGAAGCCTTTTCTGTATTAGTCCTGCCACAGCTCGGGTGGTTTCCTCTGATTTACATAGTTTCTGCAAAGAGAGATCCCTGACTCTGAATGTTCCTCTGGGATGTGACAGTATTAGCTTCTATTCGGTTCTCAACTATGTTCCACTAATAATATGAAGATAATTTCTATTTTTGTAACTGAAATGCAGCTGATTAACTGTGTATTGTATGGTTTTTATGTGCTAAAATTTGACTGGCAAAGGATTGTTGAGAAGTGAGGCCTATCCTGCAACCCATAGCGAATACAGAAATACAGTGTGACTTTAACTGGGTGTATGAGATTTCTGGGAAGAGGCAGTATTAAGGTTTTATTTTTGTTTTTCTCCGTATTATTTTAGTGTTAAGGTTATGGATATTTTGTATATTTTTGTGTCTCTTAGCTTTATAATTGACTGCAGAAGCTACACAGGTGTAAGGAAATCAGAGTGTCCCAAGTTCTCTTTGAGAATGAAGATGAATTAACTAGAGTAACTGCAAATGAGAGACAACAGGCAACCAATGTCTTTTCTTACGAATTTCACCTTCAGGAAACTAGTCTGTGCAGCTGCACAATTGTTGTTAGATATCAGAGAAATCTACCTGGGAGCTCTCTTGAGGAACGAATCTTTAGGAAATGGAGGTCATAGATTCTTGCGAAATAGGAAGGCATTTGTGAAATTGGAGCTGTTAACCTGAAGTATAATTCTCTGAAAGTGTTTTGCCTGTTGTAGTCACCCTAACAACACAAGCTGTTGTGATTTCAGTTGGGCAGAGCTTGTGTCAGTCATTCTTCCTTTTGTCTCCCTGTAGCCTTTGTGATCTACACGAGAGGCACCTTATGTTATAACAGAAATGCTGGGGCCTTAGGATACCAGTGTATGTAATCTAGGCTTAAGTACCAGAAATGGACTAGATTTTGAATGTCTTGGGATCTAAAGGAAAGGATTCCTGTAAATTTAATTATGTTCTCTTGCTTTCCAGGGGTACTAGAAGATGCTTCAGTGGTAGTACCTCTTTCACAGTACAAGTTATGAATGAAATTCATTAACTAACATCTCCCTCCTCACCCTGAGCTCCAATAGACTTCCCGTAACGCTTGGAAGCAAGAGTCAGGGGAGAAGGGTTGAACGTCACCATGAAGCTAAAGCAGCGAGTTGTGCTGTTGGCCATCCTCCTGGTCATTTTTATCTTCACGAAAGTTTTCCTCATTGACAACTTGGACACCTCGGCTGCCAACCGTGAAGACCAGCGCGCCTTTCACCGTATGATGGCGAGCCTGCGCATCGAGCTGGACCCCCGGCTCGACCACACCATGCAGTCCCCTTGGGAGATCGCAGCCCAGTGGGTTGTCCCCCGGGAGGTGTATCCCGAGGAGACGCCGGAGCTAGGGGCTGTCATGCATGCCATGTCGACAAAGAAAATAGTGAAAGCTGATGTTGGCTACAAAGGTACTCAGCTGAAAGCCTTGCTAATACTCGAAGGGGGGCAGAAGGTCGTCTTCAAACCTAAGAGGTGAATATTCTCTTCAGTGATTGAATGGTTGCTGTTTTATGCATTTTTCTCTCTATATTATTTCATTAGTCTTTTATAAACAGAATCTATTAGTCTCTTTGGGAGACAGCAATGGAGTCACGCTCATCTTCTAGTAAAACTCGGTGACTCTTCAACTGACTCCCAAGACCTGTAAATTTGGTGCTCAAAACAGCCTGTCTTTAGGTTCAAATAATAACCTCAGTTCTGAGGGAATGTTGGTTAAACCTGATGCTTTTGAGCAGTATCTTCCTGATTCTGGAACTGCTGGTCCTGGCAGTGTAGTGACACATCTCGCCAAATAATAGTCGTGCCGAGCCTGCGTGTGAGACTCACAGTTCAAGACTAGGGAATTTTTTAATGGTTTTAAAAGCAGATCTGGTGTCCAGTGTTTCTGCATGATGAATGGAAGAATGGCAAGAATAGGTAGAAATGAGAAAATAGGTAATCTAATTTGGTTTTACTTTGTGAGAAAATGCATTTCACTTCACCCATTTGCACCTTAGGCATAAAATACCACAGTGAACACTATCTGAGGCATACCTCTTAAGGAGTATCTAGACTTGACTCAGATGTCATTAATCTCTGAAAATTTTATATGGCTTGACTGGTTGGGTAACATTATTTAAAAAAGAAAGGGCCCTAAAACAAATCAACACTCTGCCAAAATATACTACTGTTATTGCTATGTGTGTCTAATTTCTATTTCTACTTTTCATTCTGTGTTTTCTCTACCAAAATAAAGGGCCTTTTTATATCCAGTATTCTCCTCAGATTCACACACTCTGGTCTTCTGTCAACCAGAGATTGCATTTGCTGTTTTTGCCACGACATCAGATTGTATTTTGATGTCAATGTGCATCCCTTCAAACCCCAAATGGTTTGCAGAGTTCCTGCTTTCCAGTATAAATAGTCTCCTGTTCTCTGGTTGGGTTTGTAGTCTTTGTTCTTAGATATGACTTGGCATATAGTTGAATTAAAGTCATTAGTTTGAATAGGCCCAGGTTTCCAGGCACTTGAGACCCCTGTGAATTACTGACCTTTCCTCCTTATTTACTCCTTTACCAGCCTGTCCACTGTTTAATCCCGTTAATGGTTTTTCCCTCTCCCATAGGCAATCATTTTGAAAGTGACCCAAGTCTGTTTAATTTAGTGTTGTTCCTGCACTCGTTACTCTGCATGGCAAAGTTGACAGGAATCCTGCTTGAATCACTTTATCTGACTTATTACAATTACAGATATGCCAGGGACTATGTTGTGGAAGGAGAACCATATGCTGGCTATGACAGACACAATGCAGAAGTAGCAGCCTTCCACTTGGATAGGTATGAAATTGTTGGATTACTTGGTTTTATTGTCTCTGATACTTAGTTTGTCAGAGTGGGGGAAAAAAACCGTATTTGAAATACTGGACTGTTTCTAACCTGTCCATATAGCAAATTGAACCCGAGAATAAGAATAAAGAGTGATTTTGTGAAGCTTCATTTTAAATGTATGTGCAAGAGCCTAATATTTGCAATTTTTATTTTTTTTAAGGAAAAAAAGGCATGGTTGATGAGGTACTGAAACCACTGATGTTCCATATAATATGATACAAAGAGCTTAGTCAAGTCCTAATGAAAAATCTGAAACACTAAAAGTATGATTAAAAAATGAGTCTAAATGTCTAGGGTGATGATTCTAAATATGAATCAGTGCCTCCTGGAGGAAAAAAAAAATCAGGCATTCCCATATGGTTGGGGTCAGGGATTTCCAGGTGTTGTTGTGGACCAAGCTGGAGATGCAACTACCGTAAGAAAAACAGTTACAGGAAACATAAGAAAAGGATTGGAAAATGCTAAAGGCTGAATGTTGATAGGTACAAAATGCAAGTTTGTGTAAGCTTCATCTAGAACAAATGATTGCAGTCCTGGTTTCTCCTTTTTAAAAGGACTGTTTTGCGATTTCAGAGAAGGCTTATTAAGCTAATTAAGATGCTAAAAGATGTGAAAAATTGTCATGTGAAAAGACTTCTAATCTTGAGTATAGGAACAATGAGGCACTAAAGATAAAGAACAGAATAGTCCAACTTAAACTGAGATGTTATTCTTCCTTTTTCAGTGCATAAATAAGAGGCTTCTTGAATTCATAGGTTGTAAGAGATATATTCATTAGTCCTAACTCATCTTTGGAACCTATTGTACAGGAGAGAGAAATGACTGTTGTGGGAAGGTTGTGTGGTAACTGCTTGGGTAAAACCCAAGGCTGGGTTGGAATATTCAGATTGCGAACCAAACTGGGCTCTTTGAATCATTTCAAGACAAAAAGTTGATCCTGGAGCTGGATGTGAATTATTCATTTGTATTCTTGAAGAAAAATAGTGTTCAATTTCCCTGAAATTACAAAAATCAAGCAATGTAAAGGGGAATAATTAAAAGTCTGTTTTTGGCTGAATCAGTGTCCAAACTCCTCCCTCTTGTCCTACCTCTTTCTTCCTCTCCCTTTGGCCACGTTTTAGTGCTTGGTTTCTCTGACCTTTCTCCTCTGCTTTGAACATGCTCCTCCACCTTCTTCAAGCAGAGCTAGCAGAAACTACCTGCCCACATAACTTACCTGCGCTGTTGTTTTGAATGGTGACACGGAGATATTTTGATCCCAGGTGCTACATTTTCACCAAGAACCTGCAGGATGTTGTATGCTTCCCAGTAATGGGGCGGCTCTATTAGCCAGGATACCAGCCTTTCCTCCAGGGATTTGAGCTTACAGGGATGGGTTTTCCAGATGGAAGTTCTGCACTTGTTTATCTGTAGCTCCTGCATTTTCTCAAGCTGTGCATAGCTGTCTTGCTGTTTGTGATTTTTGTCTTTATGCTTCCTGGATTTGTTCAAGCAGATGTTTTGCCTTGCCCTTTCCTAGAGCTGTTTCATACTTTAGGGGACTTGCTGCTTGAATATTTAAAAAGCAGTTTGCAGCTGTTAGAGCAACTTTCCTTGTATCTCTGTGGGCATCTCTGACTCCTTCCTTCCCATTTTCTGAAAAAGGCACAATCAAAAGTATGTTAAGGGAGTTAAGTCTGACGTTGCACTTATGTTTGTAGTGCTCCTTCAAGCACTTTGAAAATCCCATTACAAATCAAATCAATTGGGGTCACAGAGCAAAGGCTCCTGCAGACATGAGTGGAACCTGGATCTTCTTGCTGCTGGTTTGATTATCCATTCCACCTCTTTTTTTTTTTTTTTTTTTTTATCCAGGCATGTTTTAGGCAGTCAGATTTTCCTACCATTCTGCCTTCCCTCTTCCCCCTCAAGCCAAATCAAGTAACTCCCACATTGCTTACTTCCAAGTGCAGTGGAACTGGAGCTTAAATGTAAGATTTTGCTAGATACTCATACCCACAAATTATAAATGATCTTTCCAGGTGAACAGCCTAACGGCCATATGCCTGGTGCCTGAGCCTGTACACAAGGGAGATGATGGATTGTGGTTTTTATTTTTATTTTTTTTCTGGGGTGAGATCTGATTTCTGAGAATTGGAATCCTGCGTCTTTTGTTGCTCTTCCGCAAATGTTTTAGTAAAGGAGCATCACTGATGGCCTCTAAGAAAGTTTTATGTTTTGGTGCTTAGGAAGGAGGGGTCTTTCTCTTTGGAGGAGAGAGGAGATTGCCAAGGGGTTCCAGCTTTATTCTCTGGTCTTGACTGGTCGTGATTTCATGCAATGGGACCGAGTCCTTGTGTTCGTGTGTGGTTTTTTTTTTGTTGTTTTTTTGTTTTGTTTTTTTGTTTTGTTTTGTTTTGTTTAGAACTGCTGTCACAAATGCTCACACTTCTCTCCCCCACCTCCCCCAATGTTTTTTCACCCCAAATTAGAATCCTGGGCTTCCGACGAGCTCCATTGGTAGTTGGCAGGTTTGTGAATCTACGTACAGAGATCAAACCAGTTGCCACAGAGCAGCTTCTGGGCACCTTCATGACTGTGGGTAAGTGGATTCTCTGCATTGTGCAGCCTGGTAAAGAAAATCATGTGAAATGGGAAATAGTGATGGGCATTTGGCACGGGTATGGAACACTTAACTACGGTACTGGAAGGTGATAAGCCTCTTTCAGTCCCGAGAGAAATGTGAATACTTGTATAACCCCTATTTGGTAGGGGAAGAGGACTCAGTTTTCTCCAAAAGTAGGTGTTTTGCTTTGTTTTGTTTTCTGTTCTTTCTGTTCTAGTTTCTTTTTTCTTGAGTATTTTCTAATGTTAGAAACTGTTAGAAAGTCTTTGGAGTCTGTGAGCAGACCTGAAAGAAAAAATGGAATTGTATTTGGCTAATGCAAACGCAACGGTTACTTGGGAGAATTTGTCGGACTGGTTCATCAGCTGCTCTCAGATGTTGTCTGTGCCACATCACTCTGCTGAGCATTCAAAACTGAGTGCATTGGAGCTTGGCTTTGTTGCACGCAGAAATAATGCTGAGGGGCAATAATGGGAGGTACTTGTGCAAGCTCCTCCAAGGTGGTCATTAGGCACCAAGCAGTGATCTATCCTGCTGCCTTAGCCCTTTGGACTTTTCATAAAATATTAAGTTACTGCTTTTTCGTGTTTTGACAGGCAGAATCTAGAGACAGTTATTCATTACATATGTGTGTGTATTTCTATTATAAGCACTACTAGTAATCCCGCCTACTAAATTTGCTTAACCCTTCTAGTTATAAAGTTCAGCAGTCAGATGAGATTTGCCTTGCTAACCTCTTTTTGCATTCAGATTGAGTGTCTGCCTCAGGCAGACTTTATTTTTTTCTAATTTCAGCTGAAATAAGTAGTAGTCAGCAAAGATGCTGATTTTAAGCATGGCTTTTTTTTTCTTTTTTTTTTCTTTCCCTCTTTATTGCCTGTCCTTGGATTCTTTGGAACCTCCTGTTCTGCAGAGCAAGAACTAAACAGAGATAATTGCAGAAACATTTCTGTCTCTTGCTGACCCAAACTTCACCAAGTTTCTGAGGTTTTGAGAAGTGATAGCTCACACATATTCAGTGGAGGTGTGCTAGGCCATGGTTGAATCTGGGGAAAATGTGCAAATTTCTGGGACAGCTGCAGTGTGGAACCAAAGGAAGAAAGGCCAAGGGGATAAGGGGGAGGCGCAAGAAAATAAGACTTAGTTGAAGAATCCTTTAGAAGAACATCCATGCATGTGGAGTTGGGATTGACTCGGCAAGGGACAAAATAAGGCAGATTTTAAGGATGAAGCAGAACAGTTTAAGCTAAATAAGTTAATCTGGGCTACTGAGAGCATCCTTTTCCATAGCTACTAAGGACTGATAGGTGTCCTTATTCCTCTCCTGTCAGAAGACACCCATGAAACTTTGCCTAGATCCCATAGGAATGACATCTTGTTTGTATTTCCCTAAGCAGAAATGTGTGCCAAGTCTAGGGGCTCCACATCCATCTGAGTTGTGTTCTGTCTTTATTTGCTTGCCTTTGTTTTTTTCAATTGTCTTTTGAAAAAATCCAGAAAACTGTCCCGTGGCGTATGTTAAACAGGCAGTGCTAAGGTTGCAAAGTGAAGCTCCTGAGGAATTAGGGATCTCAAACTCATTGATAGTACAGTGTTGCCTTAAGTCCCAGTATAATTAAAAACATTAGACAATACAGTTACTGACTTCTTTGAAAATTAATCTTTCGTGAAGTTTTGAATGAATATCTGCTTCCTCTCTTTTGAGCCTCTGCCCTTAGAGAGGAGGAGGAATGAAGTTGGGTGCAGTGAAATCTTGCTGTGGGGGTTTCTTTGCTGCAACAAAATGCTCCTGAATTTCCTGTGGCTTCCCTCGGATTTAATTCCGTTCTTGTGATGTCTTTTTTGTTTGGTTTGGTTTGAAGGTAATAGTACTTGCTTCTATGGGAAGTGCTACTACTGTCGGGAAACGGAACCGGCCTGTGCAGATGGGGACATCATGGAAGGGTCAGTGACCCTGTGGCTGCCGGACGTCTGGCCTCTCCAGAAGCATCGGCACCCGTGGGGCAGGACTTACCGGGAAGGGAAGCTTGCCAGGTACGAGAGCCTGATGGGCTTCATCCTTGTGACGATAATCTGAAATACCCTGGTGATACAGTGGCTAATTCTGGAGCCAGCGTTCCCAAAGTTGAGTCTTGGCAGTAACTAACTTGATGTGATCACCGATAACTGTGCGATTCCTGTGGTGCTGTGCTTTTTTCTGACACACCTGATTTCACGGTCTTTAAAGTTTCTTCAAGAATTGTAGGAGATCGGGCAGAGGGGGACAGTGCCAGGGGCTGGGAGGGTTGTTTTTGCTTTTGCTTTTAAGTGTGTGGGTTTTTTTTGTTTGTTTGTTTGTTTTTTTTCCCCCACTTGTGTCACAAGTTTTCTTAGGAGGGTTTACTATGATTAATCCGTCTACTTTATAACTATTTTTGTAGGCACATTTTCTTTGCGGTGCATTTAGGCTAAACTGGTAAGAACTGAGAAGTTCTTCATTTATTTAATTGTCAGCATCATTTGGGGACTGTGCTCGATGTAGAAAGAATGCTTTTGGAGAAGAAGAATGGGATCTAGCAGTTGTGTGTGCTAAGATACAGTGTTTGGGATGGACATTTTCTTGCCATGACCAAAGTATTATAGAGCTTTTGTTTTTGCAAGTCCTGGTGCTGGATAAGTGATTAGAAAGAGAATTGTAGTCCAGAACTAAGACTCTGATTATTTCCCAATGATGTGGTTGTTTTTGGAAAGAATCTCCCCCAGTGGCTTCATTGAAGTGTTTTAGAATATGCAATATGCAGTTGACTTTCTGAGCAGCAGAAGGTACCTGCTTTTTAAAAGGTCAAAATCAGATGTTTTTAGTACCCGTTAAATTGCAGTAATGGATCCATTGAATTTCTTGCAGGTATTTCCTTTTTTGAGAGACTGTTTTTTTATCAGAGAGAGTCTACTTATCTTGTTAACTTGTTATTAAATCAGTATACATACGATTTTATTCACTGTGTTTTTAACTTGTATGCTTTTATCTTGCTCGGATGGTCTTGCAAGGTTCTGTTTCTTTGTCATGCCCCTTAATTATAGGTGAAACATTCTGTATGTCATGCTCTCTCTATCTTCTCCATCTGATAATTATGGAAGAATAACTTTGTGGGAATTTTCTTCCCTTGTTGCTGCTCTGCCCTGAGTCGACCTTTGGAATCATATATTTAAAATCGTCTGTGCCATTAGTGTGTATAATTTTAATGGACACATAATAGGTAAAATCCCTGACCTTTGAAATCCTGCACTAATATGGCACAAATATCCAAAGTAAGCGTCGGATAAAGGGTCGCTCTGGAAAGACTGAACAAAAAATGAGAGGAAGAGGGAGCACAGGATATCAGAAGACCTTCTACAAGGAGATCAAGCAATGATCTAAACGAAAATGAGAGAGAAACGCTTGAGGGAGAGACATGGAGTACAAAGGAAATGTTTTGAGTGCAAGGAAGAGCCCGTGTTGAGAATTTGCCTTGTGGGATTGTGCTGAAAGCTGAATGCGAGTTTGATGTTGCAGGAGGAGGGGGCTAGAGGCAGGATTGGGAGCGTTTGTCATGTGGAAAGGCGGAAAAATAAGATATGGGAGCTCAGAGTCTGTATCGGAGAAGGTAGAGTAGGGTGTGTGACGACTGTAATAGTTAATTTTTGGGGTTTCCTCCTTTTGTGACTTACTGTGTGATTATTATTTTTTTTTTCCCCAAACTTGTCAGTAGCCTCTGCAGCTTGTTTCCTCCGTTTGTGTTTCCAGTTCACAGATGGCTCAAACCACTTCCAATTTAACTGCTATTTTGCAAAGGAATGTTTTTAGCTGCTGTATTGAAGATGTGATGCTTGTCGTTTGGGATGACATATGGAAAGTGTTGCTGTTATGGTGTTAGTGGTGAACAGCTTGGAAAACTGTAAAGAAGGAAGTGAGGAAACTTAGAATCCCAGCTGTGGAGAATTGAGACGTGGCATCCAGTTGTAAGTTGTAAGCACGTGGTTAGGTTGTCTGTAGAAGGATAGGAGAGAAAAGGAAGACTGGGAATCTTGCCAGTAGAGAAGCAAGTGAGAGACTCTGAAAGAAGAGATAGGAGAAGAGGAGAGAGAGAGAGAGAGAAAGTGAAGAAAGCAGCTGTGAGTGAGGGTGGACATTGTGCCTCCTTCTTAGGCCAGTGGAGATCACTAGTAACAAAGAGGTTATTTCTGCCAGAAGGAAAAGTGAGGAGAGACTGGAGAGACAGATGGCAACAGGCCAAGGCAATAGAAATATAGATGCTGTGCTCGAAGAGAGGCAAATCATAGCAAAAATCATAGCAAGTGCAAAATTGAAGCATGCCAACCACTGCTGAACGTGAGCAATGAGAAAGCAAACTCTGAGCTTGCTTTCTGTAGCAAATGATTTGTAACCTGGTACTAAAACTGTAGCTTGCTTCATATGCCTGGATGGTAGTAATGGGGTTGCTCTCTTAAGCTACATTTGTGCAAGTCTTTCTTCTTTGAATAGACTTGGCTGCTCTCCGGGCCTTTTCTTTAAGAACTAACAGAGTTTCTGCAGAGAAAGACCTGGGTGTCATGGTGGACGACAAATTGACCATGAGGCAGCACTGTGCCCTCCTTGCCAAGAAGGCCAATGGGATCCTGAGGTGCGTTAAGAAGAGCGGAGTCCAGCGCAGGGCTACCAGGATGCTCAGGGGCCTGGAACATCTGCCCTATGAGGAGAGGCTGGGGGAGCTGGGCCTGTTCCGCCTGGAGAAGAGAAGGCTGAGAGGGGATCTAATCAGTGTCTATAAGTACCTCAAGGGAGGGAGTGCAGAGGACGGTGATGGTCTCTTTTCAGTGGTGGCCACTGATAGGACTAGAGGAAATGGCCGGAAACTGAAACATCAAAAATTCCATAGGAACTTAAGGAAAAATTTCTTGACAGTGAGGGTGCCAGAGCACTGGAACAGGCTGCCCAGAGAGGTTGTGGAGTCTCCTTCTCTGGAGATCTTCAAAACCCGCTTGGACGCAGTCCTGTGCCACGTGCTCTAGGTGACCCTGCGTGTGCAGGGGTTTGGACTAGATGACCTCTAGAGGCCCCTTCCAACCTTAAGCATTCTGTGATTCTATGATCTGAAAGAGCTATACATACCTCCCAAATCAAATGGTGCTGTGGTAGGAGCTTTCCTTGAAGACATGATTTGGTTTCTCTTTTTGGCCTGCAGGTGGGAGTACGACGAAAGCTACTGTGATGCTGTGAAGAAGACTTCCCCCTATGACTCGGGCCCTCGTCTCCTTGATATCATCGACACTGCCATCTTCGATTATTTGATTGGGAATGCTGACCGGCATCACTATGAGAGTTTCCAGGATGACGAAGGAGCCAGTATGCTCATCCTCCTAGATAATGCCAAGAGGTGAGTGAGCATCAGGTAGTGGAAGCATCAAGGTACACGTTTATCTGTTAAATGTTTCTCTCTGTCTCTCTCTCTCTCTGTCTCTGTGTGTCTCTTTTCCCCCAGTATTTTTTTCTTTAGCATCTTTTATGCTGAAAACGCCAAGCTTTTCCTCTTTTTAGAAATTATTCATAAAATATTGGAGGCTTTCGAGGACTGTGGCACTTGCTCTGTCCTCTAGATACGTAGTCATGACTGCACTGCGCAAAGTCTTAACCAAACTACAAGAACTTCCAAGTTAGCACAGTATAGCTTTTATTTCAAGAGACACTCTTAAATCTTTGTTTGTCTCCTCCTTTCCCTCCTCACAAATCCCTCCCCAGTGTGTTTCCAGTTTATGGAGGCTTATAAACTTAGGATTTATTACTTGCTAGCAAGTTTAAGTGAGTACCATAGTATAAGTAGATCTTTTCCAAACGTGGCTCTGAATGACCTGTTTTTTTTCTGCCTTGTGAATCTGTCTAGTGATTAAAGACTAAGAACTAAAACTGAAGGTAGATTTGACATTGGACATCATCATATTTTGCTCTCACTGTGTGTTAGGTACTTTAAACTGTGATCTACCAACCAACGAATTCTGGGAATAACTGGGATCTAGACAGATCCTTGGTGGGCTTGCAGTTACCACTTCTTTTCTCACTGGTCTTTATTTCCCCTTTTGCTTTTCCTGGAGTGGATTCTATCCCCATCTTTCTTCCCTTCTTTGTCCTCCTTTGAGCAGAAGTGGCTGAGTTGCATATTTTGTCTTCATAGATCAGCCTTTTCAGTAATGCTCCTTCAATTACGCTGGCAGGTTGTGTTCCACTTGGGGAGTGCTTAATTATTGCTGCTTTCAGATTGCTGTAGGTGAACTTGGCAAAAATTGTCTTTCTCTAATGCGCTGCCAGTGAGCTAGGAGGAAGTCAGTATATCTGTCACTGGGAGTAAATATGGTATTGAAGGTCATGTCAGACCTTTCATTACAGTGCGTGCTCATAACATTACGACACACTTTCCTCTGGGCTTTGCAGGCCCTGAAGTAAATTGTTTTCCTGACAGCCTGAATAACGTTCTTCCAGCTTCTTTGAGAACAAGGACTGTGTGTGTTGGGGAGGAGTAGCTATTTAAAGCTGCTAAGAACAGAATTATTTGAGCAGAATAGTGCCTGACTTGCAGTATGAGTTATCTTTATTGAGTAGCAAGTTCTTTGTTGGAAACAATGTTATGGTGGCCAAGGGGAGATAATGAATCAGCATGTGTTGAGGTGAAGCTTAAAAACACTGTGAGCACCTGCTGGTAGGTGCCCCTTTGAAAGTGTTGTGGTAAAATGTGCTCGCAGTGTTGAGAGGTGATCCCTTGTATGGTGAACTGTTGGTCTAAGCTATCCAAAATGGCCATTTAATTCCTTCCCTGTCTGGCTGTGTCACACAGTCGGTGCTCCCCCTCTTCATGTGCAGAGAGCAAATGACTCCCTTCCCTCCCTTAGCAAGATGAGCTTAACTGCTGAACTCCTCAGAACTTTGTTCCTAGAGTGTCTTGGCCTGATAAGGACCTAGGTACCCTGGTGTCGCTTCTGTCTATCTGGTGCATTAGCTGGTGCCGTCAACAGCTAATACCTGTAATTGGTTATGATCTTAACTTAAATGATTTGAGCTGTTGGAGCATGAAAGTGGTTAGTACTGATTTTTGAATTCTTTACAAATCTGTTGATGTTGTGAAAGACATTAACTGTTCAGCTGGTTCATTTGTTTCTAACTTTGCTTTCCAGCTTTGGAAACCCTGCCCTGGATGAAAGAAGCATCCTAGCTCCTCTTTATCAGTGCTGCATGTAAGTAGAGTACAGGGATGCATTTCACTTTACAAACAGCAATTTCACAAGTGGATTTGGAATATAATTAAATTTGTAGCAGTTAAGCCTTTTGGCAAGCTGAAAATGTTCAGAGGTACAGCGTGATTTTATTTATATATTTTTTTTGAAAATACTGCGCTTGCTTGATGTATTTCAGTGCTCAGGAAGCAGAGAAATGATTTTTTATTAAGGTAGTAAATCAGACAATAGGAACTGCAGGAAGTAGTGTGGCTTCAGATCTTCCCTCGGTCGCTGAGTATTTGCTATGTGCAGCAGTCTCCATCCAGCTCCTGCTGACTAAAAGTTTGCATCATAGTTAGCTCCCTTTGAGAGAACTTAAGGACTCAACGTGCCTGGCAACTTCACAACCTTCACTTTCAAATACTTTTTTTTTCTGAACGAGACTGCAGCACTGCTTGTGGTGTCGCTTTCAAAATGCCGTTTGTAGCTCTCTGCAAGGCTTTTGTTTTCGCTTTGGCCTCATGAGCTGGATTCTTCTTCCCTTTATTTTTAATAGCTGTGACCTGCTGGTTTCTGGCTTCTCGCCAGGCTGTTGCTACTTCTCATTAACAAGTAGATGAAAGTACCAGAAAGAATACTGATACGCTTGTTTCTTGCATCTGTTACTTCAAGATCTCATTAAGTTCTTCAAACCTTCCAAATTAGGTATTTATTTAGGAGTTGCCCAAGCCTTTCCTTGAGGGGTTCTGTCCCTGAAATGCTCAGGGTTTGCAGAACCCCAGAACTCTGCAGCAAGGCCCAAGCTCTTGCCCTCTGCTTGCTTGGAGCTGGGCTCTGCGTGTGCCTGACCTCCCCGGTCTGCTGTTCTCCTGGCCTGGGTGCCACTGAGACAATTGCAGCAGGCGTATGGAGAACAGTTTAACCAAATGCTTTTCTGATTCCTTAGTTTTCCTACATTAATTTTCAATGCATTTTTAATTTTTTTTTTTTTTTTAGGATCTTTTGGCCCTTCCTTCTCAGCATTTCCTAAATGCAGTCCCACTGCATTGGCAGTAATTTTTTTCCTGAAGTAACATGAGTTTTCTTTTGAAAAAGCCAAGTCATTTTGCTTTCTCCTCTTTTCGAACTCTGGGAGGGGTCAGGACTGAAGAACTTCCTCGCTAGCAGTCGAAGGTGTGTCCATATAAGAACTCTTGTAGCAATTGCAAGATACTAGATTCCTGGCTCTTCACCATCAGTTGTTAAGTTTCATTTTGAGGTATTCCATATGCTGGCATTTACACCTGGACCTTTCCATCCCCAGACCAGTTGTGGTGAGACTTAGTGCCTTCCCTTTAGATGCAGCCATGATAAAGAGGCTCCCTTGAGAGCCTGATTCTTTGTGTTGCTTACAGGGCTTCAGGCGTTTGATGATGTGTTTCTTGCTTCTGCAGCATCCGTGTTTCTACCTGGAACAGGCTCAATTACCTGAAGAACGGAGTGCTAAAGTCTGCCTTAAAAACCGCCATGTCGCACGACCCCATCTCCCCGGTGCTTTCCGACGCGCACTTGGGCGCGCTCGAGCAGCGGCTCCTCAGCATCCTCGCCACGGTGAAGCAGTGCACGGACCAGTTCGGGCCAGACGTTGTGCTGGTGGAAGACAGGATGACGCTGTCTCATTTGTAATGGTAGTGGGGCACAGATGAAACTCCTTTTTTAAAAAAAGGAAAACAAAAACCCAACAAAAACAAATGATAGAAAAACAGCACAATCGGTTCTGAAAGGCTGTGGCCAGGATGGACTGAAACGAACCAGAAAGCTTCCAAGCCAGAGCAACGAAGGTGGTTCTGGCTTTTACCTCGGGCTCACAGCGTGAGAGGGGGTGGGAAGCTGGAGCCTGGGATGGCTCAGCACCCCTGTGGCATCGTGGCCGTCGTGGTGTGTCCATTGTCAGCAGTGGACGTTGCACTGGCTAAAAATGGCTCTCGGTGGAAGTGTGTGGAATACAGACACTAATTTGTGGACTGGTTCTAGAGGGGACAAATGGAGATGGACAGTACAATCCTTTCCCCTCCTCTTCCGCACATACACTCTTAGGAGTTTTCGTCTGATTCAGGGTTGTATATAATCAGCTGTGAGCTGGTTAGGCATTTTACTGCTTCTCTAAAGAAGGAGGAAGTGGTGAATAATTATTAGACTGAACAATTGCACCCCCTCCAGGGGTGGGATGTTCTTGTGAATGCCGTTAGGTGTGGGTGAGGGGACCTCTGCTCATCGGTTGTCCCCTCCTTAAAAGGCTGCCATGGATGGGGGTTGCCTTGTATGTGATAACGCCTCAGTATTATCACTGAGGTCTTATCAAAGATTCATCCACCAGGTTGGAGACTGAGGGGAGGACAGGGTGGTTGCAAAGCACTTAATCGTTATGGGGTTAATCTAAGTTTCCAGAATAAATTTCCATGCGTCCCCCGGCTGCTCCCTGCAGCCTTGCTGGGATGTTCTGACGGGGGTGACGGTGCGTTGGAACCGGCCCCTCTGATGGTCGTGTCGAGGGCGCGGAGGTCTGTGCAGGTTTGCTTCGTGGATGGGAGCCTCGGCGCTCGTTCTGTGTCCCTCATCCTTCAGCAGCGCTTCAGTCTGCGTTGCAGATGCACTTGTGGCCATAAAGCTTGTCACGTCTGCGACAGATTGAAATCTGTGTCTGCAGAAGGGATGAAGCTTTGTCATTTTGTTTCCCAATGCAGTCACTTTGATTTGATTTTCAATTCAGCCAGAGCAGTCCTCAGCAGTGAGGGGAGAGAGTGCTTCCTGAAGGGTCCTTGATGTGTCTATTGGACTTGAGATCAAAAGCAGCAAAATGCCTGTTTAAAAGGGTGTGTGGGTGGGTTGGTTGGTTGGTTTGTTTTTGTTTTTTCCCTCAATTTGTCTGTCAAAATTCTTCTGTGCCCGCAGCAGCGGGGCTGGCACATCAAACCCTGAGCTCTGCTGCTGCCCGGCCAGCTGCTGTACCCAAGAGAGACGTTAGTGAAAGAGGTTATTTCAAAAATGCAGTTTTGTTTTGTTTACCTCTTTTTGTCTCTGTCTAAGCAGAACATCATGGAAGTAGAATGCAGTTGTTTACCTGAAAGTTAATTCTGTGTTCATGGCCACATCGCAGAAGGCCATGCAAGCAGGACAGGGTTGCAGTACGTGCAGGGATTGCCCTTGCTCCTCGCCGCTCTGGTCACGTTCCAGTGGTTGAGTGAGCGGGGCTGAGAGGTGCCCTGGCTACGAGTTAGGTGCTCAGTGAGCAGTTTTGTTCTAATGCAAAATAGTTTCATGATGAGGTGGTTTTGGTGTGAATTCTTTCCTTGAGTAACTGAAGGTAGCTTACACAAAGGAACTGTGTGAAGCACATAGAAATATCTTGAAGCATTTTAAAAGCATGCTCTTACTAACATGCAATATTTTGGGAAGGATCCACCAGAATTTGAAGTGTTGATTTCTATTTGATCACTTGCTGATCGTTCACAATTGGTTTGATGGCAGGTTCCAAAAAACTCTTGCTCTCTTTGTGCGTTGAAGTTAGTGTTCAGACCCTCTGCTTTTGCTCTTTTGCTTTAATCTGCAGCTCTTGGAGCTAGCTGGGATTTGGAGGCAACTTTTCTATTGAATGAGTGTCAAAGAGTTAAAGAACTGCATTGGTTTAGTTGTAAACAAGGGGTGTGAAGGATAGGGGAAAGGCTGCCTTTTTTCCTCATTTTTTCGTCTTTTTTTTTTTTTTTTTTTTTTTTTTTTTTTTTTTTTTTTTTTTTTTTTTAATACCTAGGTACCCTTTAGTGTGTTCACATACTGGAGGTTCATATTTTGCAGCAGGAGGGAATCAATTCCTCTCTTATCCAAGATCAGGAAGAGCAGATTTTGGTCTTGGGATCATCTCTAGCACTTGGCTTGTATGCAGAACCCAGAGAAATTTTAAGCTCAATTAGAACTATTGCAAAGGGAAACACAAAGCAGCATTCACGTGCAAGCAGGGTCAGCTTGAACCTCTTAAATAAATAAATTCACATTTTTTACTTGTGAGGCCAGTGCGACACCTTCTAACTGACATTCTTAAAGCTGTGCACACTGTCACTGCCCAGCCTTGCATGTTGGAAAATGGTTATGTCGTGGGTATTGGTAATAACAGAGTACTTGGAGCACAGGAATTAAGAACTCATTGAAAAATGAACATCATCAGCGCACTCGCATTTATCTCCTCCTCCCTAAATCAGCAGTCGGGCTGGAGGAAATACTGAAATCTGCTTCTGTTCCAGAATGAATGAACTGGAGTATCTCTTGCCAAACAAACCTCAACTGAGAAATAATAATTTATTAAGAAGGTAACTTATTTGCTGTGTCAGCTGGAACAAAATGCTTGCACCAGACCCCCCTCTTGGAGCTGTCAGAGATTTGCCTCTGGGAGCAGCTGCACGAATGGAGGTTACTAATAAGAAAACAGACTTGTAGTTGTGACTTTCTACTTGTATCCCCCAGGGTCAGATTCCACATAAAGCAACACTGTGTGAATAAAGATTTTAATAAAGCAACATTGATGGATTGTTTAAGTCTCTCTCTCATGCATACTCATTCCAATGTGTGGTGAGCTGACAGTTTAAAGTGTTTTGCTACTAATACTTTCTTATTCTTTCACTACAGTGTCAGTGGCCTTTATTCCAGTAAGGCAGTTTCAGGAATGAAGTCTTGGCTGTGGAGAGGATGGTTGGCGCGCACACACACACATCTGTGTTGGTAAGGAGAGAGGTGTTCAGAAGTCGCACAAAAGAAAAGCGCACAGGTTTAAGTCGTCTCCAGAGAGCAGATTTTTCTGCTTTGGAAAATGCCTCCCAGGGCCCCGCAGCCGCAAAGCCCCTGGAGGAGTTTCTCAGTGGTGCTGCCCTGTCCCTTCGTAATGCGCAGCGAGGGGTGTGATGCAGAGCTGACAGTGCTCATGGCCTTCCTGCGGCTTTGCTCAAGCCCTTTTCCTGAGAGAGGGATAAGCAGGCAGCCAGCAAGATCCCCCTGCACAGAGCACGGGGTTTTAACCCAGCTGGGTTAGAGCTCTTTGTCTTGGTAACTCCCTGCAGGAAGTGTTTCACACGCAGGAGGGCGATGCTCCGGTTTGGAATGTCAGGCATCTGGGAGCAAGCGAAGGCACTGAGCGCTGGCGGGCTGGGCAGGTTGGCCTGGATAAATGACCAGGAGCATCAGTTCTCCTGCAGCTGCAAGGTGCAAACTTTGACCTTAAACATTGCCGTTTTTCAAGAACTTGGTGGTGGTTTTGGAGTTTCCATTTTTGAAAAGCTGAAGCAGCTTGTTTTGAAAGCTGTTTTAACAAATACCTGTTAAATATTGACGTGTTTGGCCTTAGTAACAATGGGAATTCTTACAACTTCTTACAACTGGAAGACTTTTCAAGTATTTTTAATTATTATATAATTAACATCATTTTACAGGAAAAAAAAAGACTAGGAACAACTTTGAGGCAGTGGAAAATAAGGTTTTGAAAGTTAGCATTTTCCCCAAATGTCTTTTGGATTCTTTCTGTGTATTTTTGTATCAACTCGGAAGATTAGAGATGAAAATAAGCTCTTAGCTCATGTATCCCACTGGTGGGACTGGTGGTCTGTTGGCTCTTCCATAGAGTTGCTCATTTTTTGGGAGACTGGGGATAGGAGTCTGGGGGAGGGGAGGGACTCCCAAATGACTTTTATTCCAGATTTTCCTTTAATTGTATCTTTGACCGCACTGTATTGAGCTGTTGGAGAGAGGCTGTCCTGCTGCTGCCTTCCCTCTGGATGTGCAGAGGGAATCGCTCTATGGAAACTGAGAAAAACGGTGGAAGGATCCGTGGCCTTTCCCTGCTGATTTTCATGGCCACCAGCAGATCCAGGCTGCAGGGCACATCCGGATGCGTGAGGTTCGGGCCGCCAGCGCGTACCAGGGTGCTGAATCCCGGCTGCCTTTCCCAGACTTTCCCAAAGCGGGTCCGAGTGCTTCTCCGCTAGCATTGCTCTCCAGGTCCTTGGGGCTCCCTTTGACTCCTTGCTGGAATGCTGCCACAAAGGCAGACTTGCTTCAGGCCCTGCAGAGAACTGCTGCTCAGTGAGTGTGTTGGAGGGATTTTTTTTCCCTTTTTTTTTCCCTTTGGTGTCTTGTGAATCCCTGAGCCTGGTCACCCAGCGTTCCCCGGGCAGGTCACGCAGCAGCTGCTTGTGTTTTCCCCTCTAGCTCTTAGCAAGCACTGCACTTAAGCGAAGCGCTGTCCTATGGGGAAGCTGGTGCCTTCAGGGACAGTCCCTCATTGCATCTTTCAGAATTTGCTTTTACAACTTTTTTTCCTTTGGGATGCAGAAGCATCTCGGGTATTTTTTTGTGAAGACTGTCCCTCAAGATAAGCACCTCTCAGCTAAAGCACTTGGAGACAAGGACTCAAATCTAGTGGCTAAGAGTCTTTTTATAAGCTTTATAAATAAAACCTGCATGATGTCTTGATTAATTTTTCAGGTGGGCTGATAGCGATTTAATTTTTTGTGACTACAGTAAAGGTGATTTTTTAAAGTTGATACTTATGTGCATTGGTTACAGTTCCATTTTTCGTTAGATTATTGCAAGTAGTGCTAAGGTCTGGGCCTCATAGATTATTTTTAAGCTAGACCAGAGGGAATGGTGTTAGTAACTCATCTTTTTAATGCAGCTCGGTAATTTTTATTGCCACCCCTAGGTGGCCTTATGGCCCATTCCAAGCGCTGCTGGTGCCACAAGTCAGCTCGGCGCCCCCTGGGACAGATGAACTGCGTTTAGGTGACCCCTCCACTATCACGTTCGTGAGCGGAGAAGGGTGGCCGTGAAATTCCTCCCGTGCCCAAAGCGCCTCAGCCTTGTTACGGGGGTAAGCCCTGCCCCAGTTTGTCCTGTTGCTCCCCACCAACTCGTGTCCCCGGCACAGCGCAGTCTGGCTGCTTGGCACGACTGAACGTGCCGCTTCTGCCGCCTGCGCCTGTTTCCACAGTTAGAGCCGCTCTTTGCAGATCAGCCAGGGCCTCCCCCACAGCCGTCCTGGCCGCGTCCCCGCGTCTCGGAGGGGCTGCGAGAGGCTGCTGGGACGTGCGTGGCGGGGTGCCATGAGCGGGGCCTCTGCGCTGACCCGGGCCGGCTGCGCGGCTGCTTGGGCGGAGGCCGCCCTTCCTGCGCCCCTTGGGCTGCCTCCGCGTGCAAGGAGGGACCCGGGCGGAGAGGAGCCCGCGGCGCCCGACCTGGGCACGAGGAGGAGGGCCGGGCCC